TATAATTGTAAGACGTAACTCAAAAATATCTTTTATTATAATTTTAATTATTTTTAATTAATTTTTGATATTATATGATAATAATATCTTTTAAATAATTTTAAACAAATTAAAATAGTTTCGGATTTCTTTATTTCGTCATTAAGATAAAAATTTTAAAATTAAATCTTAATTTTTCTCTCTTACCAAATATTGTTTATCTTCCCATTAAGCTCTTTCTTGCCTTCCCAAAGTGCAGAGATGATATCAAGAATTGTGTTTTAAATTTTTGGATTTATAGATTTATTTATAGAAATTTAAAGTTGAAGGGGTTGAAATTGATTAGACATAATTATAAATTAGAACATTGTATGACTTTAGCAACTTAAACCAAGTTATGAGTGAGCAAATAAATTAGTTATTAAGTATTGCATTACTGATTTTTAGGTATTAGGTCACTGTTTTTAAATATTGCGTAACTTAATCTTTGTATCTTTAATTTTTAGTTATTGCGTGACTGTTTTTAAGCATTGCATGGTTAGTTTTTAGGCATTGTGTGACTGATTTTAAGGTAATACATAAGTCACACAATGTCTAAAAACTGGACACATAATGCCTTACTAACTAGTTACAATGCCTTACAAATTAGTTATACAATACCTTACTAACCAATCACGCAATGCCTTACTAATTAGTCACGCAATGTCTTACTAATCAGTCACATAATACCTATCAACCAGTCATGTAAAACTATATCAACTAGTAACTCAATACTTAAAAATTAGTAAAGCACTGCTTAAAAATTAATCATATAATACTCAAAAACCGATTACGTAATGCTTAAAAATCATCAAAACTACTGAATTTCATTTAATAAAATTAACAATTTCAAATAATACACTATATTTTATTTAACAACATAATCAACGAATATACCTAATTGGCGAAAAATGCTTAAAGGTTTTCTTTATGTATAAAAAATCACTCCAAAATGCTTAAAATACTTAAAACGCTTCAAAATTTTTCTTCATGTATCAAAAACTATTTCAAAATCACTAAAATACTTAAAATTTTTTTTTGAGTAAAAATTCTCTAGAGATGAATGATCTGATGAGGAAAGTTTAAAAGATA